CTGTATCAACCTGTGATTATACCTGAAGTTTTGCCCTTAGGAGTTGATGCCTTTGGCTTAAGCCATGTCTTCTTCTATAAAATGAAGATGATAATAATAATAATAATATATATATTTCCTTTCCATGCTATCGTGCTTTGACAATGTTGAAGTGTTATAGAGACATGAGTTCCTATTGTTATTTTATTTTTGGAGACAATCAGCATTAAGTGACTCCCCTGGGTTCACACAGTTAGTAAGTGTCCAAGGTCAGATTTGAACTCAGGTCCTCCAGACTCCAGGGCCAGTGCTCTATCCACTGCCCCACCTCATTATTATTGACACTGTTAAAATATAAATACTCCCAGAGAACTAACCATCAACCCATTATTAGGATTATCAGGATGAATGAGACTATCAGATCTTTTCCAATGACTAAGAGCAGGAAAATTTCCCTAGGAGAATGGAGTGAGGGTTAGGGATGAAAGGCAGAGTATGGAGCCAAGTATAGAGAAACACAGAGAATGTACTGAATGTAATCTCCTTGAAATCAGAGACTGTTTTTTCTTTTGGTTTTTGTATCCCCTTACCACAGTGCCTGGTATATACTAGGTACTTGTTAGATTGGCATGGATAGGAACATCCCAGAAGGGTAGGCTAGGGTGGGGTAGCTCAGAAGGGCCTTGGGGCAACCAGAAAGCATGATGAGGACACTTTGGGGGCAGTGCCCTGAAGGTGTTCTGGTGAAGGACAGGTGTGCAGTTTTGCCCAAGACCCACTCTAGGGTTGGGTGTGTGGGTGTGAGGCCATTACCACTCCTAATACTGATCAACATGCCTGTGATTAGTCACTGACCCACTTCTCCCAGGATCCAGGCTGAATGAGACACTCCTTCCACTGTGGAGGATAAAACCCTTCAGGGTTCCAAGTAACTGAATGGTCCACACACTTTTCAACAATGTGGGAAGCCACCTTGTACATGCCATGAAAGTAGGCATTCCATTCCTTTGAGCGGTAGTGGATTCATTGAAATTGTTAATGCACCGTGAGGAATGTTGGACCTTGTCTTTTCTTCAGGTCATTTTTCCACGCTTGCAGAACTACTATCCTAATTAGTCACAATAATAATCTCTGGTCTATGAGAAGAAAGAGAAACAAGATCTTGGCCCAGTGCAGGAAACCAGCCAGTGGAACATAGTGGGAAAAGCAATCAAGCCCCACCTCTGATTCTTAATAGTCATTAGAACCTTAATAGTCGGGGAGGAGGGGGCACAAAATATTGGAGTTGGAAGAGACTTTAGTTTTGGAGTCCAACCCAACCCAACTGAGACCCTGAAAGATGAGGTGACTTGCCTAAGATATCTGAGCTAGTAAGAGACCAAGTCAGGATTCCAAGTGCAGTGGCATTTCCATCATACCAAACTTGATCTCTCTGAACCTCAGGTTCCTCATCTGTAAAATGGGGATAATAATAGTTGCACAACCAACCTCACAGGATTACTTGTGAGAATAGCAACCTTGATGTAATCTAATCTAACAAGTATTTATTAAGTGCCTACTGTGTGCAAGGCATTGTACGAAGGCAAGGTGGGGAACCTGCAACCTCAAGGCCACACATGGGGCCCTCTAGGTCCTCAAGTGAAGCCCTTTAACTGAATCTAAACTTCACAGAATAAATCCCCTTAATAAAAAGGATCTGTAAAACTTGCACTCAGTCAAAGGGCCACACCCAAGACAAATACAAAGACAAAAAACAAAAAACAAACAAACAAAAAAACACAGCACCTGCCCTCAGGAAGTTTACATTCTATTGGGGGTACAACATGCAAATAGATAAGATTGTACAAGATAAACTGGGGAGAGAGGAGAGTTAGCTAGAGCGCTGCAGGAAAGCTTCCAGTTGGAAGTGGGGCATAAACTGAGACTTGAATGAAACTAGAGATTATAAAACACAAGATAAATGGGAGCTACTATTAAGTCTGGGAGCTCAAGGATATATTTCCTGTGCCAGTATGCTCTCTCCCTCTCTCTGTCTCTGTCTCTCTCTCTGCCTCTCTCTCTCTGCCTCTCTCTGTCTATCTCTCGTTTATGATAAGGGAATCAACAGGCTGGTGCAGGTAGTGACTTTATCCTATTTGTATTTATACAGGTGCGTTCAGCTCTGCTATATGTAGGGAGACAAAGAGGCAGGGAAGGCTTAGGTGTTGACCTATAATTAATGCTGCCTCAGATCAGAGTTTGTGGCTGCTTCTGAGCCCCACATTAGGACCTTCATCAACCGAGGACTGGACCCTTTATTTATTTAGCCTTTATTTTGGGAATCAGAAGTTGGACCCATTGGTTCCTCTCTCATGTAGTGGGAAAGATTTGGAATTTAGAATTCCAAACACCTAAATTCAAGTGTGACTCTCTCATTTACTAGCTATAGTCTAATTTCTCTGGGCCTCAACCTTTCTCATCTGTAGAATGAGAACATCAGTATTTACTCCCTGTGAATCTATGGTTCTTTCCCCTCTTCATCAGGGTGGGGCGAGGAGGAGAGAAAGAGAGAATTCCTGTTAATCTCCTATACAAGGTGCTAATAAAATTGAACTAATAGCTACTGCATGCTCAGAAACCCCCAAACTTTATTCAAAGTAAGAAGAAACTTATTCATTCATTCACAGTTACATAAGATTTAGAGCTGGAAGAGACCTTAATAAGTGTCTAGTCCAATACCCTTATTTTATAAATGAGATAAGTAAATCCCAGGACGTGAAACGGCAGCCATATTAAAACCAGTAGGAAGTGGCAGAGCAAGGAACTTAGGTCTTTCAACCCCAAATCTGGTATTCAGGCTATTATACCTTCTGCCCCCTTTAAGTGAAAGAGGAGTGGCGGAGCAGGAATAAGAAGTCTTGGTCTGGGTTATTTATGGTTTTTAGGCTGTCATTTCAAAGTTGATTTGGAAAACTGTGAAATCTTTTATTTAGCAGCAGGTCCTTCGGAAGGAGTCACCAAGCTTACTTCTTCTTTAAAACTCTGCCTTATTGTTGGGACCATGTACCCCATCCTCACCTCCACTTTTCAGAATCCTCATCTCCTTTCAAGGTTGTGTTCAGGAGCCATGTTCTTGGTGAAGCCTTCTCGTCTCCTTCTGCACCCTCTACCCCCTTAGGACTCTTTCCCCCAAATATTCCTAGATCTCTATGTCTGGATCCCTCCCTTTATCCCTTCACTCTCTTTGTATTCACTAATTGAGTAAATACTCTATCTCTGCTTGAGACCCAATGGAATATAGTCTCCTTGAGAGCTAGGATTGTTTTTCCTTTTTGACTTTGTACCTCCAATGCCTAAAACAGTGTCTATTTATTAACTTTATATTTATGCTATATAGTATATGTACATATATATTTTTATATGTACTTGTCTCTTCATTAGGATGTGATCTTATTGAGAACAGGGATCATTTCATTCTCTGTGCTTGTATTACTAGTTACTAGCACAGTATCTGACTCCTAGTTGCCAACAACAAATAAATAATTGTTGATTGATTGATTATACATGGTAGGCACTTAATGAATGTTTATTAAACTTAATATAATTACTTAAACATTAATTAGTGACAGGAACTGAGTTATTACTATTTTTCAGGCTTGGCTCCCCTGTGGTCTCTCCAGTGATGCCCAGCTGTGATGCTCGTTTCACTCCTGGATGAGGTAAAAATGGCGTTTCCCACCTTTCATCTTCATCCTCTTAAAGGACCTGGCCAAAAGTCTCACCACACATGTGTGAGCAGCTCTGTTTTTATAGGCACTCCCAAGCCTCAGATGCAAACTGCCTCTGCTTCCTCCTCTGACATTTAAGGGTATAGGCCTCAGACCTTTGCCACTGACTTAAGAAGGTCAAAGCTACTTTCCTACCCCTTTTCCAGATCCCCCAGCCACCCATGAGGGCCTGCAGGTCCCCCCCAATATGCTACCCAAAGGGCTTTTGAAGGCAAAGGTGATACCTTGGACAAATGTGCTGATTGTTCAGTATTTTCTTCCGTAGCTATAATCTTGAAAATGAAGTGGAAATCACACAAGGCCTAGAGCCTATTCAGCTGTTGGGGTTGAATCCAGCATTTCACCTAGCTATAGGCCAACTGGGTATCCTTTTCTGGGCCTCAGCTGTCTCCTCTGAAAAAATGGGAACCATCACACCTCCAGCACCTTCTTTATAGGGTTGGCATGGAGAGGGTGTTTTATTAACCATAAAGCACTTATGGAAATGGGGTGGGGGAGCTGACACTTTTCCTCCCCAAGTGTGTGGTACCTTTGAGCCTCTAGGTGCAAGGCTATGAACATCCTTCCCTGCTTTGAAAAAACAGGATGTGAGAGGTAAGGAGAAAGAATTCCTGCCATTACTCAGTCCTATACTGCTCTCCATCCATCCTCTTTTCAATTCAGCTAAGTTTGGCAAAGATTTATGAATGTGTTGTGCCTTGGGAATACAAAGTTTAGCTAAGACAGAATCTACCAAATTCTACCCAGTTTATCACCCATTCAAATACCTCTGCCTCCCTGACACTACCCCCAGCCATTCAATGCCCATTACGCTCCATTCTCTGACCCTCCCTCCCCACCAATATATTTTCATTTTTTTACCTCACTCATTGATATGTGATTCTATCCTGTCTTGACTGATGCTCTAATTTCCTGTTTAAAGATATCTTGCCTCCTCTCCCCATTCAGACTCATGGGCAAAGTCATTGTGGCAACAACACTGGATGTGGGATCAGAAGAACTGTGTTCAAATTCCTGTTCTGCTACCTACTATATGTGGAGTCTCCCATCGCTGGGTCTCAGTTTCCTCCTCCATAAAATGAGGGGATGAATCTCTTCCAAGTCAAACTACTACATCCTTCTCTTACATCATCCAGTTAAGAGGCAAGTTCTCAACAACAACAACAACAACAACATTCCTTGAACAGCCAGCTTCCTCTTCCCTCTCTACCCTTCATTGACACTCTATTCCCATCATATCAACACACCACTCTGTAATTGGGTCAAATTAGTATTTATTGGTTTTAGAAACAGCCTAATCATTGGCACAAGGTTCCAAAGCTTTCAAGTAGGTGACAATAAGAAATAGGTCATGCAGAACAGATAGGAGGAGTAGGAAAGAAGATAATCTAGAGATAGCTTTGGGGACCTCCTAGAGAACCACACCACTGGGAGACTTCTGAAATATTCACAGTCAGTGAATAGTTTAGCAGAGACTCTTAGTAGGGACCCCTGAAGGCTTAGTATAACTATCTCTAGTGGTTGGGGATTGGGGACTGAAGTCCTCTGCACAAAGAGTAGATTTCTAGCCCCCTGTTAGATGTTGCTTTCTAGTTGTTAAGTCTTTGCAACTTTGCAATGAGAACAAGATGACAAGAGAAGGAAGCCATCCACTTAGGGACTACTTCTGTAAGGAACGCAGGCCTACTCTCTCTCACCAATGCATTATTCATCGGAAACCTTTGCTCCTTCCCTCCCACCCCGCAACTATAGGAACAGATTTGAGCCCTGCAAGAAGGAAGGAGAAGAAGAGGATTGGTTCCAGAAGGTTGGTCAATTACAGCTCCTACTGGGGCTGTGTTCTACCCTCCTCCCCCACCTAACCCTCACCTTCCTGGCAGTCCCCCAGATCGTATTTTTTGGTGTTAGTAAAGAGAACCTCTTCAATTGTCAGAGATCTCTTCTATGAGCTCCAGATCAAACTCATCTTCCAGGGAGCCTCCAACAGGCAGAAGGCGGAACTTCTTTCCTCTCAGGGTACATGTTCGGTGCTTGAAGTCCAAGATGGCACCATGGTCCTGGAGTACGTCGGTCCCAATGATGGCTTCTTCTGTGCTTGCATTGGCCACCAAGAATTCAGCTTCCATCTCAAGCTTCCCCAGGGTCACTGTAGTGTCCCAGATGCCTAAGATCTTCATCTCAGCCCCATTGGCCACTTTGACCACATTTTCAAAGGGTCGGAGGGTGTCCAAGTCTCCATCAGTGGCCTGCTCCCACAAATCTGGATGAACCACTGACACCTGGGCTCCAGAGTCCACTAGGAACCTCACAGGAATACCCTCAATTTTCCCTTTGAGGTAATATCCTTTGCCCATACTGTTGGCAAATACTATCACCTTGGGGCCGCGAGGTTGCCCATGCTCAATATCAGAACGGAAGGCTTCAGCCAGGGCATCTTTCACAGCCTGGCAGTCACCTTTGGCCTCTGGGCTAAGTCCTGTGTACACATCCAGGGCTTCTCCTTTGAGAGACTCAGTCAGGAACCTCATCTGAGTAGAATCATCCCAGTTGTTGAGGTCACTAATGACATCAAATTGGTGTAGCCATCGGTCCACATTTAGATTGTGTCCATCAAAGGACTCAGGGATGAAGGCATGAGTCTTTCCATCCCTACCTCTGGTTCTTCTTCCAGCCATGATACCACTCTCCACTGGTCTTCCGTGCACAACCCACACAAGGCAGATTAACCCGAAGAACAGAATAGGAGCAATCACGGTGGTGTCCACGGCAAGTCTTGGGAATAACTGCGACAACCCTTCAGCAGCCTGAAGAGTTGGAGCTTCTGGATCTCTGGTAAAGAGAAGGTGACACTGGCGTCCTCTTGGGCTTCTCAGAACCTTGGGCAGCTAGTGACTGACTGCTTCTCCTCTTCAGCTGCTCTGTGCTGGCTGAGGTTTCTGGAACAAAGCTTTCCTTCTGCAGCAGGCTGTGCCTTTTTGATTCCTAACGTACCACCTGAGGCTACACAGTTTTTCTTTGATGTGTGAGGCTCCACCCCCTTATTACCCAACCCCGTGTGGAGCATCCTGACAGACTAGCAGGGTAAGTGCCCCACCTTTGCTACACCTATCCCAGAGACCCAGCTGCATCTATGCCACTGGGTCGAAAGAAAGAGCACCCAGGGTTACCAGGGACCCTCCCCCCCATCTCACTCTGTCACCCTCCCCAGCATGCACCCAAGAATAACATATTGGGAAATGGAGGAAGTCTTGATAGTCAAGTGTACATCAGGTGTATTCTTTTGGGCATGTTATAGTGGAGATCCCTTCATTTATGGTTTGGAAGAGATTGTCTTCTTCAGTCCCTTCCAACTCTCAAATTCTGTGATTAGTCAGGGGATGTGAAAGAGAGACACTTCCCCCTCTCCCCCCCAGCAACTAGAAAAAAGCAGATGGCTATCCACCTGAAGGCACTTTAATATGTTCCAAGACTGAAGAAAAGTGCAGGGACCCAACCAAGGAGGGAATTTAACTACGCCCAAGGTCTCACAGATAGTGAGTAGCAGAGCTGGGATGTGTTGTCTTACTACTACATCACGATAATTCTGGGGGAGAGGGTCAAGAGCCAAGAATACACATAAAAGGAGTTCAACTATATGCCTAGATCTTTTTTTTAACATGAAAATAAGAGCATTTATAGGGTTTTTTTAATAATAAAAATTTATCCATTTGAGCACACACACACACACACACACACATACACACACACACACTCCTTGACTCAGGGTCTTGTTATTGGGCCAAACAATGAGTATTTGAGAGACCAAGGCAGAACAAAACAAAACAAGACAAAAAAACAACAAAAACATTTCCCTCACATACTATATGACAACAGATTAATGACATTTTTCTTACTTAGCTTTTTGCCTGCCACTGAAAGCCTAGCTCTGGCCAAGTTCCCTCCTACTCCCTTCCTATCCACCAGGCTGCACCTCTGCTTGGGAATGAGAAAGGGGTTCTCCAGGATACCGCACTGTTGTATCCAAACCCCAGAGTTTCTCCTCCAGCTCCACAGTAACCATGGAAGCCTTGATCTGCTTCCCTTGTCCTTTCTGTTCCTTATCATCACCTTCCTCTACCCACCACCCCACTTAGAGTAATATTTGTAGAGAGACCTAGAGAGTATCTTTCCCTTCTCCCCTCTACCCCCAAAAGCAATACCAAACTGTGGTGAAAATTGAAATTCTGGCCCCCATAGCAAACTGTCAAGGGACCATGTCTCCATGGCATGCCTTAGAAATAGGCAGTGTATTAGAATGGAAAGAAGACATGGTCTTATGGTCATTTAGAACATGGCTCTTTCAATGCAGCTCTGGGTCTCATCTATATGTTCATGGGATCATAGACCTTGACCTGGAAGTATCCTTAGAATCTACCTAATCCAAGCTCTTCATTTTACAGGTGAGGAAACTGAGCTCCTCTATGTTCCCTCTCAACTTTAAATTATCCTAACCTAAATCTCCCTGACAATTCAATGATCACTTTTCAGGGATGCTATAGAAGAATTGTTGCTTAAGTCCTGGATGGCCTCTGAATCCCTTCTGATGTGGAGAGCCAATGCTTGTATGATAGTGGTAGCAAAGCGTGAACCCTAGATCAGCTAGTGTGGGTATGAGACATGGAACCCCTGGGCTGTTGGGGCCGTGCTTATTTCATGGGTGCCTTCTTAGAGACACTTCCACATGTACAGTTGAAAAAGCCTGGTAAAATAGGAGTGATGGCCTTGGAACCAAGAGATATGGCTTTGAATCCTGGTTTTGCCACTTACTGATGGTGATCTTGAGTAAGTTACTTCTTTTTCATGAACTTTGACTTGCTCATCTGTACAACGGTCGTAAAGGATTGTACTTGTCCTATCTACCTCACAAAGTTGCTATTATAAAGGCATTCTATAAACCTTAAGGCAGTATGAAAATGGTTACTATTAATAATATTAATATCATTATTACTCTAGCTGATTTCTTCCTAATATGACATTAGCTTCAGGGTCCTAGACACCTTCTGATGTCTCTGAAGCAACATACCCCCAGGAAATTAGAAACCATTAACTCTTAGGCACCAGTGTTCAATGATAAGAAGTGTCTCATAGGAAGGGATCCCTTGTCTGGCCCAGTCCATGCCATTGAAAGTCACTCTCTATGTACCCAGGACCCCTTTAAAAACACATCAAGTTCAGGCGTGTACTTATTTCCTGAGGAAGATTTGGAAGAGAAAATGACTAGGAACTGGTAGCACATTTATAGCCAGAGGTTAATCATCCTGACCCACGGCTTCTCAGATATGGGGTAGAAATGACCTAGTTCTGGGCAATAAGAGGTCCAAAAATTATCCAGATTCCCAGAGGAACCCTGACTCCAAACCAAACCAGCATCTGAAAAGATCATAGAATATGGAGCTGAAAGAGACATTAAAAATCAAGTTCAAACACTTCATTTGATAAATAAGGAAACTGAGGCACAGAGAAGAGAAATTATTGGCCCTAAATCACTTGAGAAATAAATTGAAACATTAGGATTTGAACCTGTGCCCTCTAACTCCAAATCTAGTACTCTTGCCATGAACTCAACTGCTTTTAGACCACCTATATCCCAGCAGAAATCCTCACCCTTGGTTTTATTCTTGGGGTGATCTCTGCAACCCAACCACTTTGAAGAGTGACCCTGAGAAGAGGCACATTGCACATTCACCAAATAGGCTGCCTGGTTAAGGTGGAGCTGGAGCATTCCAAGAAAACCAGAAAGAGGGCAAATGGAGCAACGGGGGAGGGGCTAAAAGAAGGAGCCACCCTGTCTTGTGCACAGTGGAAAAACCTTAAACCCAAAGAGTTGACCCAGCCACCTCTATGGTTTGGATGACCTCTTCCTGCAAACATCTCTTCCTCCCCAGTCTAGTCCAGGCCTCCTCCACTGGGGCCTGGCCCACAAAGCTGTCATTGTCATCTGGAGAGGAGCCAGTCCAGTCACCTTCGCCTGGAGATGACATTGACCACCCGGTTCACCCTACAGTTCTACATCGTTTGGCATCTGCTATTGACGGATACTCAGGATCAGCCGAGGAGCATGTGTGGGCGGGGGAGGGACCCAGAACAGGTTTGAATGAGAGAAGTTGGGCCAGGCTTCCTCTTGCATGATTGAGAGCTCAGGACTGAAAGCTGCCATCTGATCTCATCCCTCTAGATCATTTGAGGATCAATATTAAAGAGCTTCCCAAAACTCTGTGTTAGAACATATGGACACGGCCCCAAACACAGGGATTACGTTTCTTTCCCATCTGGAGATTTCTAGGTGCTTGGCACTCAGCTTAAGCCTCTCCACCTTGTTCCTCTGAAAAGAACAACAAATGTTCTCTATTGCTGTCAGAGGAACAACAACGCACATTTATATTATATTTATGTATTATTTATGGATATATGCTATATAACATACACTGTTTATTATTTATATATTCTATTATACATATTAAGAGCAGCATGGTATAGGGAGAGAATGATACTAGTTTGGAGCCAGAGGACATGGATTTGAATCCTGGCTTGATTTGCTTCCTGAGACAAATTTTTTCTCTGGGCCTGTTTCCTCTTCTGTAAAATGAATGAGTTTGGGATAGCTAGGTGGTGCAGTGGATAGAGCACCGGCCCTGACGTCAGGAGGACCTGAGTTCAAATCCAGCCTCAGACCAAACACTTGACACTTACTAGCTGTGTGACCCTGGGCAAGTCACTTAACCCCAATTGCCTAAAAAAAAATAAAATAAAATAAAGTGAATGAGTTTGACTAGCTGACACCTCGGTTTCCTTCAAATTCTTGATACTCTGATAACTATCTTCTCCATAACAACTGTACGAGGCAGCTAGTACAAGAATCACAGAGAAAGAATCTCCTGGGATGTCTCCAGGGGCAGGTGACTCTGAGTTCTCAAAGTCTGTGACAGTGGAGCACACTTTTGGAAGTCTAGAGAGCCTTTGAGAACAGCCTCAGCAATGGGCTATGCTTCTGGGCCTAGCCCAGCTGATCACAAATGTTCTCATAGCCAGAAGGTTGGCCACCCAGTGATGGAATTTTGGGGAGGCCGCAGAAACTTACAAAGATCATCTGCTAAAGTAAGCAGATGCCTGCCTCGTGACCTTAGGCAGGTTCAGAAAGTACCCGCTCTGAGGAGATGGGAGAACTTTTGGAGAAGTCAGTCAATCAATAAGGGCTTGTTGTTGATATTGTTGCTGTTGTTGTTCAGTCCTGTCTGACCCTTTGTGACCCCAGCTGGGGTTTTCTTTGCACAGATACTGGAGTGGTTTGCCATTTCCTTCTCCAGCTCGTTTTATAGATGGGGAAACTGAGGCAAACACCCAGGGTTACCCAGCTAGTAAGTGTCTGAGGCCAGATCTGGATTCATGAACTTGAGTCTTTCCGATTCCAAACCCAGTGCTCTACCCACTGTTCTACCTAGCTGCCCAAGGATTTATTAAACACTTATATGAGAGGATAATAAATATAGGTTTCCTTTCTATAACACTTAAGTTTTCTCTATTTTACAGATGGAAAAAATGAAGTTCAGAGTGGTTGTCACTGACCTAAATTTTCACAGCTAGTTAGTAACCAAGACCTGAAACCAAGAATCCTGATTTCCTGACACTCAGTTAGATTTTTTTGTCTTTGTTTTTTTCCTATTACATCCCACTTGATCCTATAGGTAACAGAGAGACAATGAAGATTTTTGAGCTGGGCAATGTAATGGAACTGGACCTGTGAATAATGAAGATGACTCTAACAAATACAGGACCACAGAGCTAGAAGGAGGGGAGACATCAGACTGGGTCAACTTATCCAACACCCTTATTTTGCAGACGAAGAAAATGAGTTGTTTCAATTCTCTGTTTCTTTCTTTTGTTCTACACTTCCCAGTCTAGGGCTCATTCTCCTCGATAGAGAAGACGTGAGCAAAAG